TGTCTGACAATTCTCCATGTAGTGAGAAACCTAGATCATGTACCCTCACCTCAAGGGGGGTCCATGTTGACGGTTAGATTTTTCAATACTATTCTCTCATTAAACAAGTACTAGAAAAAATCACAAATATCAATCCAAATATTTCCCTTCTAAGGATTTGAGCAACCGTCAGTTAACATAAAGTAGTGTGCACAATGATCCTTATTGATCCATGTCTAACAATTCTCCATCTAGTGAGAAGCCTAGATTATGTACCCTCACCTCAGGGGGGGTCCATGTTGAAGGTTAGATTTTCCAATACTATTCTCTCATTAAACAAGTATTAGAAAAAATCACATATATCAAAAAACAAAATAATTTTCAACTGTCCAAACATTTCCCCTCTAAGGATTTGGGCAATCTAAACATGGAAATTCCCTGACAGTCTATGTCCCTGAATGTAGAAAAAATAATAATAATAAATCAACAACATTGATAGACAAGTTTCTTCACACACGGTTGCCCATTCACAAAAATGTATCATCGTTCCTAACATTTCCTCAAGTCTTCAATAACCAAAAAAGTCCTACTTCCAAAGTAATAATTATCACCGGATTAGATCTGAAGAGCAAGGCTCATGATCCTTGTCATCAAGGAAGTGGTCGCGTCCCATATGCAAAATCCCAAATCACAAATGGCAAGTGATCATAGTCTATGGTTCAACATGACCTGCAATCAGATTGCCTAGGTCCGACCGACATCTACGAGCCAACATAAATTAGGGCCAAAATCGAGTTTGATGCAGTGAGGTTTTTCCTTTTTTATGTTATATTTTCTTGATTTTAGATTCGGTATTATTTAGGTGTTTAGTTTATTTGAGATTATTTTCGTATTTTCTTGTTGTAGAGATTTTAGGGGTATAAAGAATATTTATTTTATAATTTTAAGTGTTATCGTTTAGACAGAGAGAAATAAGAAGATACGGGAGAAGGTGGTGCGTGAGGATAAGGAGAAGCCAAGTAGAATATTTCCTAAAATATAAGGCAATATTATTTGGTACAGATTTTAGTGAGATTTACTTGAGAAGGAAAGAGGGATAAGAGATAGGAAAAAATGTGGGTGGGATTGAGGTGAGGGTGGGATTGAGGTGAGAAAAAATAGGAAAACTAGGTAGAAGATAGAGAAAGAGAGAGAGAGAGAGATTTGTGGGTTTGTTGTATTTTATTTATTATTTCTTTAAGTGTGAGATGGTTGACTATATCAAGAAAGTGGCAAAAGAAGTTTTAGAAAAATCTGGAGGTAAACAAAACTTCGATAAAGCAACTTGGTGGTGGAGTGATGAGGTTCAGAAGGTCAATAGTGAAAAATGATCACGTTATAAAACTTGGCAGTGTAATGAAAACGATCAAAACTTAGAAGAATATAAAAATACTAAGAAAAACAACAAATAAATAGTAAGTAAAACTAACCTTAAGGCATATGATAGTTTATATAATAAAATAAGAACAAGAGAGGTAAAAAAGATGTCTTTAAATTAACACAAATAAGAGAGAAAACATGTAAGGATATAAACCCTATCAAATGCATTAAGAGTGAGGATCAAAGGGTCTTGTGAAGGATGACGAGGTCAACGAAAGGTGGAAGTTTTTTAAAAAAAATTATTAAATGACGAACACAATGGAAACATAACGGTAGAAGGAACTGTTGTTGGTACAAATGAAGGCGGAGGTCATAGATATATTCGTAAGATGATGTCGGAAGTGAAATAAGCTTTAAAAAGGATGAAGGTAGGAAAGGCTTTAAGACTAGATGATATCCTAATAGAAGTTTGGAAGTGCATGGGGGAGATTGGCATTGACTGACTGACGAAGTTGTTCAATAAGGTGTTGAGAACAAAGGAAATGTCAGATGAATGGAAAAAAAGTATTGTGGTACCTCTTTACAAAAATAAATGAGACATACAAAATTATGCGAACTATCGAGGGATCAAGTTTGTGAGCCATACTATAAAGCTCTGGGAGAGCATGTTTGAACAACGACTAAGGCATAAAACGGGTGTCTTTGAAAACCAATTTGGTTTTATACCAACTGAGGCTATTTTCCTACGTAGGCAACTGATTAAGAAGTTTAGAGCGAAGGGAAAATACCTCCACATGGTCTTTATTGATCTAGAGAAAGTTTATAATAGAGTACCTCAAGACTTGCTTTGACGGGTGTTGGACAAAAAAAGAGTCTCTAGACACTACATCGACTTGGTGAGAGATATGTAAGATGGAGTACTAACTAGTATACAAACAACTAGTGGAGAGACAAGTGAGTTTTCAGTGATAAAAGGTCTACATCAAAGGTCAGCATTGAGCCCGTACCTTTTTGTCTCAGTTATGGGCGACTTAACTAGGCACCTACATGACGAGGTACCATGGTGCATGTTGTTTACAGATGACATAATTTTGATCGATGAGACAGCATCAACACAAAGTTAAAACTTTGGAAGGATACTCTAGAATCCAAAGATTTCAAAATTAGTCGGAAAAAGACCGCACTTTTGATATCTTAGGTCGATAATCCCAGAAAATGGAGAGATTGAGGAAGATGTCGCACCCAGAATTAGAGCTGGGTAGACGAAGTGGAGATGTGTAACTAGAATTATAGGTGATCGCCACGTACCAATGAAATTGAAGGGCAAGTTCTATAGCGCAGTTGTGACCAACCTTACTCTATGTGGTGGAATATTGTGCGAACAAAAGACAATATACCCATAGAATGAGTATTACGGAGATGAGGATGTTGAGATGGATGAGTAGCAAGATAAAAAGGGATAGAATTCGAAATGAATCCATTCGGGAGAATTTAGGTGTGGCACCAATAGGCGATAAGATGAGAAAGAGTAGACTTCGATAGGCTGGCCACATGTGGCGTCGAATAAGTACAACGCTTGTTAGGAGGTGCAAGTTAGTTCAAGTAGAAAGATTGAAAAGGGCAAGGGGTAGAAGTAGTTCAAAAAGATATAGGGACTTATGGCCTCACTAAGGGTATGACCTTTAATAGAGCAGAATGGCGGACCATGATTCGTGTAGCCGACCCCAATTAATTGGAAAAAGACTATGATGATGATGACGACTATTTCTTTAAGTGTATTTGAAGGGAAGATGTTCCTTCTTTATAAACGGAGAGAATTGATGATTAAGTAAAGAGTTTGATCTCGTAAAAAGATCTTTGGGCAGACTCTCTTACAAACTCAGAGAAAGAGGACATAATCTCTAATCCCTTTCTATTTTATTTTATGTTATTGTTATTATTTTTTCCTATGTGGCTGGACTACATTTCTACAATATGTGGTCCAAAGGTACAAAGCATCCATCTTAAAGATGGATGCAAATTGGTAGTCTATCTAAAATCCAAATGTTTTTTTAATATAAATATTATTTCTAGTTTTTGAATTTTTTTTTTTTTTATATTCATGATCTCCATAAAAAATTAGGATCAAATTATATTTTTAGCCAAGCCAGCATTTCAACAATATGTGCGGTGGCATCATAGAGGCCATGTCCATAGAAGAATAGAAAAAAGAAAAGAAGAAATATATAAAAAATTGTTATAAGGACAGCTTTGCAGACTCTGCTACAATGCACTTATCAACCGATTTTTAGAACAAATCGTTGATCGGCCAATTAGTGCACTGGAAAAAGTTCTTGCATGACCGTTAGAATCTGGCCAGATCGGGATCGGGATCGGGATCGGCCAGTGACCGATCCCGAATTAGTCGGCCGATTTTTAAAAAATCAGTTGATCTTTTAAACACCGATAAAAACATATAAGGTTTGCTGAAAAACAAACGTCCAAACACGAGGTTGAGTGCAACCTAGATTGCACGAGAAAACTGCAGTGGGGATGAAGCCGCACAAAAAAACGATGTGTATCTGCAGCCGCACCATAAACCGTGCATCCTCAATGAACTGAAGCCACACCGAAACACGTGCAGTTGCAGACACATTCATTTTCGTGCAGTCTCAGGTAACAGTACTAAAGCCACATTATATCACTAAGAGGCTATGGAGGCAATTTACAATGTGCGGCCTCACATGGAGCCCAAAGCCCCACAACATTGGCACAGTGCGGCTTTAGAGACAGGGGACCAAAAAATAAAAGTTAACACATGTGCAACACATGTGGCCATTACCATACGTGCGGCACGCCGTACACGTGCCATGCACACCACGTCTCATGTCCAGGTCCACACCCCTAAGGTGCACCTCGCCGGTCAACTGAAGGACTACCTTGCTGGACCATCGCGGCTCCATGCCCTCACACGTGACTGTTGTGGCCACCTCGTGCACACACTGTGCGCGACCATGCGCGCTGCATGCACCCGCAGTCCACAGAGGAACACGGTGCCAGACCAACGGCGTGCAGGCTCTGTACCACTCGCATCCACGCGCCTTCGCGTGGTCACGTGTTGTGGTCTCTTCAGTGGACTGCCAAGGGACCAGGACGGCTCAAAGTGCACCTAGCGCACATTTTGGCCTGCTCAGGTGTCCCGTGAGCAATCCGTTCGCACCTGTGCGCACACAGCACATTCCCAAACCAGATCTCTCCTCTCTACCATTAACAAAACCACTAACAAGTTCAAAATTCCATAGACGTTATTTTCTAATTAGCTACTTAGAAGGCTGAAAATATCATAGAGGTCCCAGCACCCACAAAGGGGCAAATTCTAAATACGCAAAAATAAAGGAGTTGGGCAATCGAAAGTCACAAAACCAGGGAAATAAAATTGAATTCCTTATTCGAAAGACAAATTCCTTATTCGAAAGATATTTCAATTGCTATCCAATAAATAATTATAGAAATTAACCATTTGAGTCTAATTGTGCTGATATGGTTTCCTTGAATCGTGTTGATATGATTTCCTTGAACAAGGGACAACGATAATAAAAGGATCACAATACTTAAAAACAATCCACTAAACCAACAAAAAGAAAAAAAAAAAGATTATTAGAAAATCAAGTTCAAAATCTTACCTCATTAGATTTACCAACATAATTGAGGGACTTCCTTTTCTCCAAAATTGGAATTTTTGTTCGTTGCACCTGCTATGAACAGTATACTCAGTCCACTGGGAGTGTTTTTGGATCAATTCAGCAAGGTTGCAAAAGCAAAGCTCGAGTAAAAGATAGATAAAATTCTGATCGCGCACCACAGAGTATAGTTGGACAATGTAAGGATTTCTATCCGAATTATAAAGCAGATCTATCTCTTGTTCAGCAGTAACATAATATTCCTGTAAAACTCGCTTTACAGCGACCCTACGACCCTCATACAAACCCTCAAAAACGACGGTTCCATGGCTTCCCTTGGCAATTTCTCGATTTGAAATAAAGAACCGCCCATTCCCATTAATCCAAATCCCCTCACTATCTCCCACGTTTTCTTCCGGTCTAGGCAGTTGGTCATTATCTGTGAGCACACTGCCAGATGGATCAAGACAGGGTTTAATTATCCGCAATAAATACTTCGTAAGCTTTTGCAACAATATGGAAGACATGATCGAAGATATGTGCACACTTGGCTCGTCGAAGAAGCTGGTAAATGAATCACCCGCAAATGCAAGGCTACCAGAACATCATTGAAGAAAAGCCACGTCTTGGTAACGATGAACACCAGTCTCGGTAAAGTTGACCACGAGTCTTAGCAGCAAAGTTGAACACACTGTTGTACGCCTTTACTTTTGACAGTAGAACCTTTTTTCTCGTAATATGCCATGAGTAAATTATACTCGGAGATCTTTTTGTACGGACGCGAAGAAAATTTCGAGAAGATGGTCATTAAATTTTGATACAAACTTTTAAAAACTATATGATATAAGTGTAAAATTTGAGTGAATAGGTATTTTTAGGGATTTGTATCGAAACACTTATATCATAATTTTTTTAATTATTTGTGTCAAATTTTAATAGTGATCTTTTTGCGGTCGTACTCACATGGGTGTAAAAAGGTCTTATAGTGTAATTTCTCATATATTATTGGGGCTACTTTTTAAATCATTCAGGATTATTCTCGTCAAATTTAATTATAAAAAATACATAAAAAGATCATTTATTTTGGAAGTAGTTTTTACCGGGCTTAAGTTTATGAAAGCAAAAAAAAGCCTCACCTCAAACAATCAAATGGGTCTAGAAAGCACTTTTCGTATAAGAAATCTCTATCATGGCTCGAAAATCAATTTTCAATGAAAAAATTTTACATGAAGCCGAGGCTCTAAACAATTAAATTAAAGCCCACCTAAAAAACTTCACTGTAAGAGGTTGTTTTGATGCCCAAATATCCTCAAATTAATCATCTCGACATCAAGATGCATAGACACGACAAAAAAATGGATTTCAAGTTTTGAAAATAGTGCATCTTGTAATGCATTTTTGGACCATCAATTTTCAAGATTTTCATGTTTTCATAGATATACTCGATCTATACTATTTTTGAAGCTTTAAATTTTAAAATTAAAGTTGAAAAATATATTTTAAGACTATCATAAAGATTTCTAGTATTGAAACCACATTTCTCGATACTATTTGAAGGTCCACTTAACGTTGATTGTTTAGAGCCCAGCTTTATACAAACCGCACCCATTTTCAATACCCCTATAAAATTTGAAACTCAAAAAATATTACATATCTTACGGATTTCTGAATACTTATTTTTAGAGCGAAATGAACTGTCTAGAATCTAGATAATTTGTTATATACATAATATTTTTTATAGCTTGAAATCTTAAATTTTTTTCACACCCATAATGTTCAAGCCGATATGTTCGATGTAAAGATTTTCCAATCCTTGAATTGCAATTTTCGATGAGCTACGAAGTGAGGCGATACTTATTTTGATAGGGCTACATCCTTATCAAACTATTTTCCTTTATTTTTCATACCGAGATGTGACAATCACTTTTCTTTGTCAGATTTTTAAATGGGTTGTTGTGAATGAGTCATTAACTAGTCTCAAAATTCAACAAAAAAAAATTCACAACTTTGCAACACATTCCAAACCATCTATTTTAATATCCAACGGCTAATAGCATTTGTGATTTCCTAGTAATAAAGATAAATGACCTCATAGTATACAATTAGAAAAGGAGATCATTTAATGAAATCATTTATTTTTGATACAATATGTCACAATCATCATTAACCATTAAATTTGAAATCGGGTGACTAAGAATGTGTCATCGTTTGGGCACAAAGTTCAAGATAAAATTTCTTGAATCTTATGATACAATTTTATCTATTGGATTTCACACGATGGTTAAAAGTAATTGCGACTTCCTGAAAACAAAATAAAAACTCTCATATTATACAATTCACGAAAAGAGATGAAAATTTTCAGAGAGAGGAAGGGAAGGAAGCACTGACTTGGGGAATTTTCTCTCTTGACCAAAACTCCATAGTCCTTGGGACCTTTCTCCGGGGACTTTCCTCGGTGAATCTAGCCATCAATCCATCCTCATTTGAAACCCAAGTAAGCCGCTTTTTTTATTGCAAATTTATTGTTGGAATCCGTTTTCATTTTAGTTTTGCAATAAATCTTCTAAAGAGCTTTGAATGTATTAGTTAGTGATCATTCAATCTTAATCCAATATCCATTATGTGGAGTGTTTTTACATAGTTCTTTTTTAGGTTTTTTTTTTTTTTTTAATTGTTTTTATATGCTCGTTTTTTTTGTATTCTCTCTATTCAAAAGTCATTGCTATTGCCTCAGAGCAAGACTTCTCTTAATTTTGACTCTTTTTTTTAATAATTGAATGAATTTTAAAGTTGATATTATTATTGTACTAGGGATATTTTAATTTAAGGATGATTGGATGGATCCTCTAATGTTAGAGATTTTTTTTTATGCTTTTATGTAATTTATTATTTATTATGTTGATTTTTCAAAATAGTACAAACTCACCACGGAAGAGATTTAAACATTTAAATCTAATAGAAGATATCGTGAATCATTGACTCACATTTTACTCATTTCCCATGATTTTGTTTGTTTACCCCCGTTTTTCCTTATTTGCTAGATATTTTTGTTAATTTTTTAATTTACTATATCGGTCCAATTAGACAGTCATCCGTCTGGTCCTAACAACACCGAATCAATATGGTTGCGCATTGTTGTTGCCTTAATTTTAAAGTAGATTCTATGCGGTCAAGCCCTCATGTATAAAAACGCGGGCTTCTTAATAAATTTATTTAGAATGCGGGTGTCTTAATAAAAAAAAATGTGAGATGAATTTTACGACTTAATTTTTAAGGACATATAATCTCTATAATGGAGATCATGAATATGAAAAAATAAATAAATTTTCAAAATTAAAAATAATAATTCTAGCAAGAAAACATTTTGTCCGTTAATTTTCATTGTTTTTTGATGGAAAACCTACTGGCATCCATCTTTAAGATGGATGCTTTACACTTTCTGGACTGCATATGTAGAAATGCGGTTCAGCCCGCATAAAACAATTTTCCTTTAAAAAAAGACGAGAACCATTACCATCAAATCCACAAATTATTCCAATAAAAGGAAATGTTTCTATGTGACCCCACAATATATAAGTTATATGTGGCTCCACTTCTTAGCTATTCAATCTGAATAGAACGGCTACCAAAATGTTATGTCAAATACTGTTTTATTTTTTATTTATTTCTATAAAAAATCTTTGGATGAAATTTTGGGCCTCCCCTCATTAAATTAGGTCGAATATAGAAGTAAAAACAAAAATTTCTGTTAAAATAAATGATCAAAATACCCCTAAAATTTTTCAAGGGTATTATGATAATTTTTTATCACTGGAAATTTTTATTATTTTTATCATGTGCACCCCTATCAGATTTATGCATGCCCAAAACTTTGCTTCAAAATTATTTATAGAATAAAAATAAAAATTAAAAAACTATGAGCTGTCTGATCAATATCTAACAGTTAAATGCTAGCTTGTGACATTGTGACTCAAGCCATCTCATTCATCTGGTCAAATTTGACAGCTAAGACCAGGGGGCACATATACCATATATGTGGGTGGGGTCACATAGAAAGCCCTCCCATTAAGAAATCCTTATTGGTTGTGGAAAAGTGGGAGTGCTAACTAGTGCCATCCATGGAAGTGTGGTGACTAGTATAGGAAAATCGAACCGAAACGGTTAACCTAATATGGCCAAGAAGCGGTTCAACCAACCTAACCGGTAAACTGGTTGGTTCAATCGTTCTAATCAGAAAAGTCCTAAGCAGTCAAAAAAATATTTAAAAAAAACAACAAAACTTCTAATAAAATATGAAAAATATATTTAAAGAAAGATTAAACAAAGCACATCCAAATGAAAATGAAAATTAATGAAAAAATGAATTTTAAAGAATCGACTTGTGCCTTGGGGTATTTTTGAAATTTTTTAAAAAAGATGAAAAATTTCAAAAATAAATATTAATGGCCAAAACAATTTCTAATTTTTGCTATGATGATAAAAAACACTAAAAAATATATTACAAACAAAATCCCTTATTTTTTGGGATTATATACAACATCCCTTATTATATAAATGGATCCATTTGCATTAAGTTTTTCCTTTAAGACCCATTTGCAACCCATGACTTTTCTGTTTTTAGAGAGGCCAACCAACTCTCAAACTTGATTCTTTTTAATAGAATAAATATTATCATCTATAGCTTGAGTCCACTCAGCTAAGTCATGTAAGCTAGTAGCTTCACTGTAGCTTTGAGGTTCATCTATTGTATCATCACTCAAAGGAAAATAATTGTCTTCATTCATAAACACATAATATTATTCTACAGTGGTAGGTGGGGCTTTAATTCTTTTAGGTCTATTTGGTATACTAGGTTCAATTAAATCATTCTCACCGATTGTAAAGAAAGACTGATGAATAGGTTCTTCGAGACCCTTATCTTTATCAAAGAAACAAAAAAAAAACTAAAGGTTAATTTAGGAGTAATCAACCATGATGGACATTTCATAAGGAAAGTAATTGAATTCTCGTTCTAATGGATCAGAAAAGAAAAAAAAAAAAACCAAATCATTAATGTGAAAGGAACCCCTTAATCCAAAACTTCAATGCCTCGATGCGAGAATATAGCACATAGAGAGAGAAAAGAGATAAACCTCCGGATTTGGACTCTAAAGTCGTAATCAAGAAGATCTTCACCAGCAACTTAGTGCCACCATGAATATGGCTTTGAGTATGAATGGGGTTGGGGCATTGGTGGTTGGGGGGCTGGTGCCTCAACATAACATCCTATGCTCCATTCCAGCCGTTTACACTTCAAAAAAAAAAAAAGAAAATTCTGAAGAAAGCGCTAATGAAATCATGGAAAAGTGGGGTGAATTTCCAACATTTAGTTTCCATGAATTTTTAATATCTCAGCCATTAAAAATTAAGAGGGGGTTGTACGCCAACATTCCACCTCAAGTTCCAAGCGAACTGCTTGACAATGTTTTAAACGACATTTACAACTCCACCTGCTACATGTAATTGAGCAGAGTGAGATTTTGTAGTTTGGGCGTGAGAACTGCCAATGTCAATCATCTTGGAACAAAAAGGAATAACAGAATTCACCATAAGCATTTCACGTGATTTATAATTGTGTGTACAAGGATTCAAGCCCTCTCTTTCTTCTTTTGATATCATCATAAGCCTCAAGCCATGATACTCAACAGAAATAATCCTGAGAACATAAGCAATTTACAGCAAGCACAAAGTTGAGTCTCTCTTACTCTTCCCAGACATTAGAGGAGAGGGTGCAGTGCATGCCTAACCCATCACAAATGTGAATCACTAAGAGAACTGCCAAACCAGGACTATACACCTTCCAAGAGCAAGCCAGCATCATCTGCATTTCAAAATAGAAAGATTGGAAATCATCGCTCCTCTGAATTGAACTTGTTTCAAGCATACTTAAGGATGTCAAACACCTTTTCGGCAATATACTTCTGTCGAATATTTGCGCCCTTCTACTGCACCTTATCAGGATGGACAAATAGGGTTGCTTTTACATAAACCTTCTTTACAGAAACAGCGGTAATTAGATCTGTCAATGGCACAGGCTGCCAACCACATTCAGGCCAGAGTACATATTGCAAGGATGAAAGCAAAGCACGCAGGTTGCCTTCTTTTCCATAAGTCCACTGTCTAATCGCCGAATCCAATGTTTCTGCAATCCTATGTCTCTCGGCTTGATCTCTCTGGAGCTGAACGTCCTGTTCATTGTTTTCAGCCAGAGCTTTTGCTACACGCTCCATTGTGCGTTGATGCCTTTCCAGCATAGCTTTCCCCGTCAATTTCTTGAAACTCCCAACATTGCCGAGAAGCATCTCCAAAAATGGAAATCTAAAGAATTAAGAGTCCGAATAAGAGGTATTTGTAACACCCGTGCCAAAAAAGGCCTCCAGGTTATTATCTGCAGCCACCCTTTCAACTGCCTCCCTTTCGACCAACCGAGCTTTCTCCGTCTCTATTCTCGTTGTTTCTCTCTCTTTCTCCTCTCTCTCGGGTTCCTCCCTTTCACGCTCAAATCTTTCATGCCTCTCCCTCTCTTCTCGCTCTTGAGCTGCTGCAGCTGAACTGGTTTCTGCATCTTCTTCACTTGAGATGGCATCAGTTTGTTCATCTGCTGAAGTCTGAGGCTTTCCCATGGCAAAATCTTCCAATTCATCGATCATTAACCGTATTCCTGGAGTCTTCTCGGAGTCAGTCACTGTTTTAGGAAACTGACCTTGTGGAGAAGATTGTGAGGAAGCAGAACACTCATTAACCTTTCTTTGTGTTTGCTTAATCTGCGGAGAAGGCCTTGAGAGCAGCACTAGTAGGTTATGTGGAAAGAAGAATTTCATTCGAGTGTCAGCCATATATCATCAACACTCTCTTCGGTATACTCATCATCAGTCTTAGAAGATGTGTCTACCAGGGGAGCAGCTTCATAAGAACCTGTAGATGAGTGGAAGCATCTTTTTCCAGTAAAACAATGAGAATCAGTAGGCCTGTCGATGTCAATGAGTTTGTTGATCTGCTTTTCTTTAGTAATGGGGCTTTTGGACTGTTGTCCTGTTTGCAATGGGCTCTTATCTTTTCTATTTTTACCACCTGGAAATGGAAATTCATCATAAATGCAACCCCATTACTTGGTGAGTTTGGCGGCATGCCAATGTTATCTGTGAATAACCGTGAAGACGATGAATATGGAAGAGATGGATTTGATTTGAGAACAACAAAAGGATCATCATCTAACAAATTTGGGACTGATTTATTTGAAGAAATATTTAGCTCTTGCGGACAAGTTGTCTCTGCAGTCATCCTGTTGTTTTCCGGGGGATCGCTGACTCCAAATCCAGGGATCAAATCATCAGAAGCCATAGCCTCTCCCATTCCTTTTGCATCAGCCTCCTTCTCACCAACTTCACCAAGCAGATCATCAGACACTGCAATAGGGCTCGAACCCATGCAAGGGATCTTCAACCCAGGAAACCCATTAGAAATACCAGGTTCATCATAAGCAGGCAGAAAGGATGACTGAGAATGACTCTCCAACTAATGACAGAAGTGATCATAACCAGAAGAAGACCCACTTTCCATGGTGCTCGAGAAAATTGGTGAGCGCCCAAAAACATTATCAGAGACCCCTGAGCCCGACGGATCATGGCAACTCCGGTTACTCGAGGAATCAAAAAATTCCTCACCAGTTCCTTGACTAACTGGCGGTGATTTCACAGAGCCGCCCATGTTGAAACCAGAGCTCGAGCATTTTCGAGCAGACATGGGAGCCGATTTAACTTGAGGCTTGAAGCCAAAGTGATGCTGCAAAAGGCCTGGAAAATCATCCACCTCTCACTCTATCAATGGTGATCGATTCAATCAAATGATATGGATTTGTGCCCCCCTTTCAAAACAATGTTTCCGGTAAAGGGTGCCTTACGTGATGGCCGGAGAACGGCGTGCGGGTCGCCGTCGCTGCGCCGGAAATTATATCCAGGGAAATGTTTAACTGTTCGCCTCGACCAAGCTAATCGGGCCCTGGGGTTGAGGTACTCAAATGAGTCTGAATCAGTGCTCCCCAAAGCTAACCGGAACCGTTAATTATACGCCGGCATCTAAGATGTTTAACGGTTAACCGTTAAACCTGCATATTCAAGACACTCAAACATATGTTGAAAAAAATAAAAAAGATAGAAAAAAATTTATTAAAATATGAAAAATATATAAATAAAAATTTAATGAAAAAGAGATTTTAAACCATTTTATATTTTTCAATAACTATTTTAAATTTTTTTAAAAAAAATAGAAAAATATAAAAGTGAGTATTAATCATAAAAACAATTTTTAATATTTACCATAATGTAGAGAATATTCAAAAATGGATTACAAATCAAATT